AGGGTGTAGGGGCCATCATAATTAGAGTAGGGTTTTGGGGTCCTCTATAGTATTATATATATATATATATATACATAATTAGAGTAGGGTTTTGGGGGGTCCTTTAGAGTATAGATATCTTAAGACGCCCCCGAAATAATATATAGGTAATTTTTGAGGCCCCTTTTATCATGTTGTATGGTGTAGGGTTTTAGGGGCTCGGGTTTGGGGTTTGGGGCTTGGGGTTCAGGGTTTAGGGTTAGGGTCTAGGGGCTAGGGTTTAGGGTTTCGGGGCTTGGGATTTTTGAACTCGGTGGCTTGGGCGCGGTCTTACAAGGGCGGCTGTCGGGTTGAAGGCTTTCGAGTTTGATGTAGGGGCCTTCATAAATTGGAATAGGGTTTTGGGGCAGATTATATTATATGTATAGTAAGGAACCCCTCAGAAGAGGAGAAGGTAACTATCAAGGCCCGTATATTAGGGCTCTGGGGTTTCGACGTGTTGAGTTGAGGGTTTTAGGGTTATGATGTATAGTGCCATGAGTTGTGCTGAGAAGCTTTCGCTTACGGGCCCAACAGAGCACATAAACATAAGGTAGTTCTATAAACGAGGGTCCCGTTTAGGTCTCCAAAATAGTACGGCAGCGATATAAAAGGTGCCCTAAACCCTAAACCCCTAAACCCTAAACAGGGACCCTAGTTTAGAGAACCACCCACAAGGATCTCTCGATGAAGGCGGGACTTGTGCACTCCTCATACCGAAAAGATGGGATCCTCCCGGAAGCTTGGAAGGTTTCTGGGGCTTCTTTTTAGGGTTTAGGTTTTTAGGGTTTAGGGTTTAGGGTTTTAGGGTTTAGGGTTTAGGGTTGAGGGATAAGGGTTTGGGTTTGGCATTCGGGACGTTTCGGGGTTTGTTCGGGGGGTGCTTGGATCGCAACTTTATACGGTGTTGCTTGGGCTTCTGGGTTTGGGTTTTGGGATTGAATGGGGGCGCTTGGGCTAAAGGTTTATGGGGTGCTTAGGGTCTCGGATGTTGGGTTCTCGGATGTTGCTTCAAGCTTCCCGAGTTCAGAATGCCAGGGCTTTGCGGGCTCCAGGCCTCGTAAGCGTTAGGTTGATGTTTAGGGTCTAGGGCTAAGGGGCACTGAACGCTTCAGGGTCTTAGGAGATAGGCTGATAGGGTTCAGCGGCTTGTATGTCTAGCGCGAGGCTTTCTTGGCTTTTGGACTTTGCACTTTCTTGGGATTCGGGGCTCAGTTTAAGGCTTTTGGGGTTTAAGGGTTTCGGGGTCAAGGCTCTAGCAAAAGTTTGGGGCTTTTGGTTTTGAGGCTTTGGGGTCAGGGTTTCGGGGAGGCGCACCTACTCAAAAAAGACCTGAACTTCACCTGAATCATCCTAAATCCTACCTCTCTCGACATATGTATATATATATATATATATACCTGTATATATAGATATAGATATATATGTATATCTCTCCTCTTCGGCCTGGACCCTTAAGCAGGCAAGGGACACCATCCTTTCCGCAATGTATAAGGACTGGGTATAGGGACTTCTTTCAGGAACCTCAAGGGACTATCATAGGGTCCCTCTTACGAACCAGGGAGAATATGGTGGCCTGAGCAACTGGACTTGGCTTTGGAAGTACGCAAACTATACTAGGATTAACGACGTGAAGGAGAACTATCTCCATGACTCAAACCCTATTTTACTCCCTAGGATTAACGACTTGAAGGAGAACTATCACCATGACTCAGACCCTATTTTACCCCCAGGTCCTGACCCCGTTGGGCCAGAGCCCAAACTGAAAACCTCTTGCAACTCCGCCTGTCTTGTTGATCCACTCCAGGGGCATGCCACGTTCGTCCAGCATAGATTGGGCCGACAGCCGCACCTTGACCCTAAACCCCAAACCCTAAACCCTAAACCCCTCGTTAGGCATTGGGGAAGTATCGGTGTCGAGGTATTGGATCTTCTATCGACATAATCTGCAGACTGCCCCTCTGCCTCTCATTGAGAGTAGATCTCCTCCCTCGCCCTTTCACGAGGAGGGTTCGGATTTCGGATTTGGGTTTGGGGGTTGAAGAGTTTTCGGTTTTGGGAAAACGGTTGGGGTTTAGCTTTCAACATTAAAGCTTTGAGAATCAAGACCCAGCACTCCGACCAAAGAGCCACTGGTTCGCAGTCCTATAGCGTTTTAAGGGTTTAGGATTTCGAAACCCTAAAAAACCCTAAACCGGAAAAACCCTAAACCCTAAACCCCAAACATTTAGGGTTGATGTTTAGGCTTGCTTCCATACGCGATTCAAGAGCCGCTGAGCTCCCGGACCATAGGATTGGCGAAGCCGGAGAGTTTCTGCAACATGTGATTATGCATCAAGAAGCCTGGGGGCATGGCTTCATAGATAGAGTTTAGGGTTTAGGGTTTAGGGTTTAGGGTTTAGGGTTTAGGGGTCAGGGTTGTTCATTTGCAGGGTCCTACGAGGTTGTTTGTATAAGCTTTTGGGGCCTGCTAGGCTGCCGTGCAGGTACACAAAGGAACCCTGACAAACTATTGGTAATTGTTTCGGCGTCTATATTTGGATGGGGGGTCTCAGCAGGCCCGTACACTTCCGGAATAGCTGTGGTAGACGCTTAAATAAGATACTGGCCCAAGACATTAAACTGAGTTTTGTTAAGTTCCACCGTATTCCCACAGTAGAGAACCCGAAGGAATCACATTCCAACGTCTCCTATGCTGTCGGTGTGAGGTTTCTTTTTTGGGGGGAGGTTAACGTTTAGGGTTTAGGGTTTAGGGTTTAGGGTCTGGTCGTTCCTGGGGCGATTGACCCCACTTCGCGTTCCTGTAACACTCCTCTCTGCTGTGGCAAACTCCCTCGGAAGCTGCGGCACAAAGCCGGACATAGATGTCTGAATGATTAGCACTAGTATCCCTTTATGGTCCCCATTTATGGTGCCCCAAAATCTTATTCTAATTGTTAAGGCCGTTCTACTCAACCTTATTAAAGCCTATAGGAACCAGAACCCACCCTAGAACCCCACAGTACCGTCGGAAGGAACAACTAAACTCGAGTTCAGACTCAATCGTAGTCGTATTCTGGTTGTCGCTCTTCTGGCTTTCTAAAAGGAGCCCTTATGATGCCCTTGTAAATGCGCCTATAGAACTTGTGGAAGCCCTATGAATCCTCTGACACCCTGGCTAAACCTATGGAACCCTACCCCACGAGGTTGCGCCCTAAGCAAACCCCCTTGTAAAAACCCTGCAGCTGAGTCTCCATGAACCCTAAACCCCATGGAAACCTATGGAACCCTTGTAAACACACTTGCAAACGCCCTTCTGAAACCGTCTAGACCCCAAACCCCAAACCCTAAACCCTAAACCCCTGAACCCCTAAACCCCAAACCCTAACCCTGAACCCTAAACCCTAACCCTCAACCCTAAACCCTAAACCGTGCCGAAACTCTAAACCCTAAACCCCTAAAACCTAAACCCTCAACCCTAGACCCTAAACCGTGCCGAAACTCCATAGGCCCATCTCATGGGCGATAGAGCCATCACGATAGGCCCGATCCCCAGGGGCATCGCCGAAAGAGAGCCTTGGTAGAACTTGGTTTTGGGGTTACTGTGGGGGTTTTAGGTTCAGGGCTTAGGGCCTTGGGGTTTCGGCCTGAGGGTTTGGAATTTAGGGTTTAGGGTTTAAGAGAGCCTTGGTACCATCCGGACGCTGATGATTACAAAAGGGTTCTGGGGTATGCTTGATAGTAGCTAAAACATAGAGCACCCAGAAGGATAGCGTTCAAACCCTACACCCTAAACCATTGCATGTATAGGCCCCCATGCTCGAGTTTGGCTTCGGGCTTAAAGCTTCAGGGCTTCGGTGGTTTTTGCGTCTGGGTTTTAAGGATTGGCAGGGTTTGGGGTCTTGAGTTTAGGGCTGCGGAACTGGGGTTTTGGGTTCGAGGTTGGAGAAATACCTCAACCCCCAGAAAATCCTCTAAACCCCGCAAGCCCCATGAACTCTATCTTTTAAGGGCTCTCCTTTTAAGGATTCCGTTACGGGCTCCTGCAAGGAATCCTTCAAGCAGTCCGGGGCGCTGAAGGACGGGTTGAACCCGGCCAGGAGGAAGGCCAGGAAGGCCATGACCACCTCATACCGGATGTTTCGGTGGGGGAATCATAAAAACTGTAAAACACAAGGCCTTAAGAGTCAGAAGTAGGGTGCTGGGGTGTGTTCTGCTATAGTCTATAGCTACGTAAAACACAAGGCCTTAAGAGTCAGAAGTAGGGTGCTGGGGTTGGTTCTGCTATAGTCTATAGCCTAGACTCTAAAGGGATACTCCTAAAAATTGCTCTGGCTCCCTTAGTCCGCACTTGGTGGGAGCCTAGAGTTGGGGGTTTAAGAGATTTAGGGCTCTTCTGGGACGAGGCCCGCTCTAGGGAGAGGATCTTCTGCTGCAAACTCATGCAAAGTGAAGCTATTGAGGGTTTAGGGTTTAGGGGTTTAGGGTTTAGGGTTTAGGGTTTAGGGTTTAGGGTTTAGGGTCACCAAAAGCTCTGGGTGCTACCCTTGAGCCTTTGGGCATCGCGCTAAGAGTTGGATACGACTTGCCACCTCATCTCAACCACAGATGAAAGCAAACCTCAACCTTAAGAACCCAAAACCCACTTTTTTGTAGGTTCTTATTATAAACCCTAATATGGGATGTATAGGGACCCTACAAAAAGTAGGTTTTGGGTTCTTGAGGAAATCCTGAAGTCTTGCAGAACTTGTCAGAGGAGGGCCCCCGCTACCGAACAGGGCCTAAACTGCCTAAACCCTAAACCCCTAAACCCCTGAAACCCCTAAACCCTGAACCCTGAAACCAGTAAAGACTAGACCCTAAACCCTAAACCCTGAAACCCCTAAACCCTGGAACCCCTAAACCCTAAACCCTGAAGGCCCTAAACCCTGGAACCCCTTACTCCCTAAACACTGGAACCCCTAAGCCCGAAGCCCTGGGTGTGCGGCTTCAGTAACGTGCCCCCGAGCTCCAAGCAGCAAGCCACCAGTTGCTTTCCAAGATTTTAGGGTTTAGGGTTTAGGGTTTTGGGTTTTGGGTTTAGGGTTTAGGGTTTAGGGTTTAGGGTTTAGGGTATAGGCTGTATAGGGTTTAGGGTTTAGGGTTTAGGGTGTCTCTCGGTCGCAGATTCGATCACCACAGACTTAAGAATTAGAATCGGGTTCTTGGGTTTAGGGTTTAGGGTTCTTGGCTCCTTTATGCTATAGATATAACAAGGAAATCTAAGGAATAATACTGGAGTGCAACCCCTAAACCCTAAACCCCTAAACACTAAACCCTAAACCCTAAACCCTAAACCCTAAACCCTAAACCCGAACCGGAATGGCTAGGCGGGTTCCGGGCCAGGGGCCAGGCCTCCAAATTCAAGCTTACGAGGCTTAGGGTTTAGGGCTTAGGGAGCTTGCGGTTTAACCCTAAACCCTAAACCCTAAACCCTAAACCCTAAACCCTAAACCCTAAACCCTAAACCCTAAACCCTAGGCTTTCGAGATTCAAGCACTTCTGGGTCCCGCACCGCCATCATCTGTGCAGTGTCGGGAGACATGAAGACACTGCAGATGTAGTTCAGGCCGTAGGCCGCGTAGACGAAAACGAAGGCAGCCTGATGAATCCCCAGAGACCGAATACAGAAGCCTTAAAAATTAGAATAGGGTTTTGGGGCCCATTATACTATAAGTTATAGTAAGGAACCCCATAATAGTATTGATTGATTGATTGATTGATGGCGGAAGTCCGTGCTACTGGCCACCGTGTTAGCGGCACTGGGTAGCGCATCCCAAAAATCTTGCAGAGAATTCAGGATCGAGACCCCCCAGAAGGTCTCGCCCTCCAGAACGCCTGTGCTGTGGTTCTGGATCCTTCTGTACTGCGACTTTGCACGAAGTCGTGTATCCAGACCACATGGCTGTTCAAGGGTCGAAAAAGCGCACCTAGCGACGAGAGCAGGACATCTTCGTCTTGCTCTGCACCGGACATACGTTCCTCCGCTGTGGG